TTTAATGTCAGCTGGCAGTTCAGCCCCACACAGCCACTCACTCATTCCTCTCAGTAGTTTGGGGGAGAGAATCAGAAGGGGGAAAATGAGAAAACTCATGGGTTGAGATAAAGACAGTTTAATAGGTAAAGCAAAAGCTGCACCCACAAGCAAAGCAAAACAAGGAATTTATTCACTGTTTCCTATGGGCAGGCAGGTGTTCAGCCATCTCCAGGAAAGCAGAGCTTCAGCTCCATCGCTCCATAGCGATGACTTAGGAAGACAAACACCATCACTCGGAATGTCCCCCAGTTCTTTCTTCTTTCCCCAACTGCATATGCTGAGCATGACAACATATGGCCTGGGATATCCCTTTGATCAGTTGCAATCAGATGTCCCAGATGTGTCCCCTCACAACACCTTGTGTACCACCAGTCTCCTCACTGGTGGGGTGGGGTGAGGAGCAAAAAAGGCCTTGATTCTGTGAGCACTGCCCAGCAATAACAAAAACACCTCTGTATTAACAACCCTGTTTTCAGCACAAATCCAAAACACTGCCCCATAACAGCTATTGTGAGGAAAATTAACTACCTCAGCCAAAACCAGCAATCCTGCTGATTCTTAAAAGCAATGGATTCATTCCAGCAGCTCTCAGCATTCAACAGGCCAAAGCAAATGAAAAGTGTCTGATTATATGTTCTGACTGCAAAATTTTACTGAGCTTGTGTGTCAATCTCTGCTTTTAGTAGTAATATTGTGAAGTCAGAATAGTTACGGTAATCTAGTAAATGTGTGAAACTATCACAAATTTGCATTATATTATCTTGGAGTAGGAGTTGAGGCAGCAAACACGTAAAAATGTACTTTGCTACAACAGAACTCGGACTCATACTGATAACAGCCATACAGAACAGCCATACTGTTCTGTTACACCCAGTGCAAATCTGGTGCACGGAACAATAGCAGATAAAAAAAATTAATAAAATGCTTGTTACTACAACTGCTCAACAGTATCACCATTTCCTCTTGTGCTTTCTTAAGTCTCCCGGGGCAACGCTAAAGGGGAAAAAAAAAAGCCCAAAGATACGATTCAGTCTAAATCTTCTGGGTTCATTCACATAGAAAACACTACACATCAGTCCAGACACAAAGCACCAGTACTGCTGTTAAGCTTTGTGATAATGAAGGGTAACACATCTATGGAGCAGTCAATGGAATGCACACTGTAAATCAGGAAAAGCAATAGCCACTCATGAACAGTGGTAATTGGGATACAACACTGAGAGCCAATCAAACAGCACAGGAGAGTTACGGCTTTCATGTGAATAATTTATTCTTTTATCAATTAAATTTTACCAGGTACTTATTTACAAAGAAACTTTTTGTGGACAGAATTTACATCAGCTACTGCACAATTTTATTCATTACTAGGATATGATTAGCATCCTTCCCATGTTGCTTAACAGTGTTGGTTTTGATCAAATAGGGTTATTCTTTTGGCAATTATTTGTTTGGTTTAGTTTCCAAGTGTCAACAGAATTTGAACACATGCCTTTGCTACAATTAAAGATTTCTTTTTACAGAACTAGTTAATAGATGGAAATGGTAAGGTTCCATCTGTTATTAACATTTCGTTATTGAAGTTGAGACTTAGTTTTAGATTCAACGAAGGCTTTAGGCATTTCCATGTTAGGCACTACAATGCCTCTTTACCGAGACGGCACCCCTGAGAAGAATTCGAATTACCTGCTTGGCCTCCCAGTACAGTGCATGGAGTAGCTCACCTCGGACTGGTAACCCAAAATACAGAGCCTGTCTGCAAAAGCTTTCCAAAGAAAACTTGCCCAATTGTACAAACATTTGCTACATCTGTCCTGATTTACCCATCCAGGAGCTGGAGCCTGGAATTTACCCAGAACTCAATGTGGAGGAGCCTGTGTGTGCTTTTGGAGGATTTGCAAGAAGCTCACCCCTGAAAAAGAACCCAGGAAGTGGTTCCAATACAGTTCTTCTCAACAGTCATCTAGATCTGAAAATGCACACACGTGCGCGCGCGCACACATGAAGTGCAAGGCCTCACTTCAGCCCTTATTCAGCTCAAGGGAATTCAAGTCTAAATCCTCAAGCAGATGACCTCGAAAACAGGAGTATTCTAGGAAGGAAAAATTATTGCCTAAAAAATTAGAGCAGAAAAATTATCTCCTGCATGTCCCACTAAAATGGGAGGACTGGAAGATTCATGGAGAAGAAAGATGACAGAGCAAACTATGTCTCTCTGACTAGTCTCCAATTCGTCAGTGAGGATGAGGGTTTGAATTTACCTACCTTGATAATTTGTGAGATTTTTTAGCCAATTAACATACAATACAAAATGCATAAACATTTAGAGATCAGGGACTAGCTCCAAGAGGTCCTTTAGTCCATTGACAATGAGGCAGTGGAAGATGTGGATTGAACCTTTGAAGGCTAAGAAAGCACACACAGATCTCCATGTTCCCATGCAGAGTAGTATTCAGGCGACTCTAGATAAAACAGCTTTGTCTTTAAAGCAAAACATATGCAACTTGAGGGTGGCCTGGCCCTTTAATCTGTACCATAAAACCCTATTAGATCAGTGGCTTCTGGGTATCCCATCATCTAGTTTCAAAGGAGTTGAGGTGGTTCTTAGGTAGGTGTGGAACTGCTCCGAGGTGGGCAGTTCTGAGTGAGTGGAGGAGAACTGCTCAGCACCTCTACATGTCAAAGGGACAGTTGTGGCTAGGTTTAAATTAAACTGAAGAGTTCTGGGATGATAATTTTGGTCTTCAAATGCCTGAAGATTACCTAAATTCTGGTTTTTGTGCCCAAGTTTGGTGGGGTTGTTTGGGTGAAGATATAATTGGGGGAAAAAACAACTCTCAGTAAATCTGCCTAAGGCTTACCAGGGAGGAAACAGAGGCCACAGAGTAGGAAATCTGGCTAGAAACATGCCTCTGTTGTCAATCATCAGGTTGTGACTATGCAGAGTGTACAAAGGAAACAGGTTTGATAGACAGCTGCTAATGAAGCCCAGACTGCCTCCATTGGCACTGTGTAAACAGTGAAAGCAGGTAAGCACTTGATTCAACCCTTTCTAAAAATAGGAGCTAGCAAAAATACAAATCACTGCAGGTTCATTGAATGCTTAGTACTGTAGAACTTATGTCCAAATGTATTTCTTCACAGTGTACAGCAACAAATACTGGAAGAAAGTATATGGTTCATTCTTTCACGAAAGTTTGCAGCTATTTTCACAGCTTAAATCATGGAGACTTCCCAAAACCTGTTTAAAAGCATTTTCATGCATTAGCAGGAATGAAAGTGCTTAATTAATGCTTAATTAATAGGAATGCAAAAGCTGGCTTAATGCCTCGTTATGCTGTAGTATAGGAACTATACTACGTAATACTTTGAACTATGAAATTGTATTGTATTGCAAGATAAAACAGACATTTCCTTGTGTGTGTTCCTGGTGACTCTACTATTTCAAAATCTGGCCTAGCACTTATGCTAAGTTTAAGTATGCACCTAAGTGTTTCACTACCCAGCTTGAAATACTTTCTATAGTTAACATAAAAATTATGCCGAAGGCAAACACATACTTTTTCTTTCCTGCTCAAGCTACAATGCTGTAATTTAATTTAGAGTCAACATTTCCAAGGATTCTTGTCTGAGAATTAAATCCAACACGCCATGAATAGTATTAAATTCCATGGCACCAACCTGTACTGAGGCTAAGATAAACATCACACTCTGCAGGCCTACAGCTCCTGCCCGGCTGATGCTTTAATTAGTTCACTAGGGAATAGGCTCACTAGGCTAAGAACTTCTAGGACTGGACCACTGTTTTCTATAGCATGGCTAACCAGATCAACTGTGTTAAAACCCTGTGCAAGACAGAAGGAGAAAAGAAAAAAAAATTAAGTGAACAAAAGAAGTATCTACAAACCTCACTACTCTCTTTTGTAAAGATGGTGTCTCTTAGGACAGAGCCTGCTGTCTTCCTTTGGAACTAGCAATTACATATAAGAATGCTAAAGTCCTGTTTAACAAAAACATCTTAATAAAACATAAAAAAATCTGCTTTCTTTGATGTAAGGTCCCTATGTCTTTCTAAAATATGAATCTATACAAGAACTTTGAGTAAAAACAATTCTCTTCCACAGTCCATGCCAGTTCCACACTGAGTATACAGTGATGTACTAGCAAAAACACAAGTTCCTTTTTTCAGAAAAGATTTCTCAGTGATTTACCATAAAGCTAAAACAATTGCCTTGACTGCTGATTTTTTTTCAATATAAAATGTATAAAATAAATGCATGTGTCCTTTTCAATATAGTCTGTCTATGTAGACAATTTACTCTTTTCCAGTTCTGAGTAACATGACAACTTTCCACAGGCAAGAAGGAGCTTTGTATGGTTTTGTCTCATTAGGATGCTGCTCTACAAACAGCTCTCTTGGGAAGCTTAGAATCACAATGACGGCGTATGCTATCAGCACGTACTGCATTTAACAAGGACTTATTGATTACAATAATCATGAGATCAAAATAAATAAAGCAGTCTCTCAATCAGAAGATAGGGAGGTAACATCATGCTAGTGCACAATAGAATCGACATATGTTGCGCATTCCTATTTTCCATGTCCTCCTTTGATGGTCTCGAACCAAGCTGGAAAAGCCTCTTGCCACAGGATACTGAACATACAGTGAAACATTTAAGCTGTTTACAGTCAGTTTCAAAGAACTTACATTTGGTTTAGGTTAACCTTCCTTGACCTGCAGTTAATTAAAGAGCAGATGAAGTACAAAGTTTTTCCCCAGCTCTAGTGGCATACATGGTCACATCAATTGGCTGCAGTCTGAACAGCTTCAGTTCATTTTTGTTATAATTTAAAATCTCTGATTAAAAAACAGTAATAAAACAATGTCTTTTTATATAGAAACCGTTGCCTTTTTCAAATAAAGAACATATCAAGATTTCATATGTGCTATAATATGCCACATTTTAAAAAGGTAACTTGACATTTTTATTTTTTTTTTTTTTGTATTCCAAGTAAAACATGTGGCACTCATTTCAGTTACTTAAAACTTTAAGTCTGGTATATGTTATATCATCTATGGTTGAAATTCCCGGGACCACACAGTGCCACATCTTCCTTAAACCATCCATTGCACCACAAATGAAAGGCTGTGACAGAGATGTTCTTCTTATACTTTTTTGACACAGGAAATAGCTGGTTTAACATACAAACAAATTCAGCTAAACTATGTTTATCCCTCAGTATCATCCAAGACGGAAAAAACCCAAATAGTAGAAAAGGTTCCAACCCAAATTGCAACTATGCATAAACATACAACCAACACTAACGTCCCATTATGACACTGTTGTCAGGAATATTTTAGATATCCAGGTGTAAAAACGTTTTTCTCAGATTGGGAATTGGCACAAACATAATCCAGAGATTATCCAATATAGCAGCTTTTACTTTCATGTGCTTGGCTTTTCACACAAAGCACAGCAAACATGAGAAGAGTTACAACCAGCTCAAAATCCTGGGAGCAGAGAGGAGGAAAGGGGGAGCCCCTCTTCTCTGCAGACTCACCAGGGGGAATCCCCTCTGTAGGTGAGAGTTTGTGGGTCTCCCACAGCTGCAACCCAGCTCCCCTCTCAGGAAGCCAGAGCCAGGCTGACCATCTCACAGTGGGAGGGAGCCCTCCTGGTCCCCTGCTTTGTCCAGCCTCTCGGGCAGGGTAAGCACAAAGGGTAGGAGAACACCCTTGACATCCAAGGGAGCTTTAAGAAGCTCCCCGTCAAAAGTGCCTTTGAGCCCACCATCCGCTTCCACCTCGCCATCCTGGGCTAGGCTGAAGCGAAGGGTGCCGGTCCGGTTGACGCAGTAGATGGTGTTGCCCAAGGGGGCACAGCGGAAGGGCTGGATGGGGCTGCCGCTGGGCCGCAGGCTGGCGCACTGGCTCCAGCACTTGGCCACTGTGTTGTACCGAAAAACTTCGACACCACCAGCCGCCCCACCACCTGGGCCCGGCTCCCCACCACGGCCACTGCTCACATCGAAGCGGTAGATGAAGCTCTTGAAGGCCACCATGTCCGCTGAGCGCCGGCGGCTGCTGTTGTAAGGGCACTCCTGCCACTCGTCACGCTTGGGGTCATATTTGAGCAGGCGGTAGAAGAGGGAGCCTCCTGACACATAGATCTCCCCATTGCAAGTGGTGGCCTCATGAGCCACAGCGAAGGCACCCTTGGGCAGAGGTGCCACAGGGCTCCAGCGGTCAGCCCGTGGGTCGTACCTCTCCACAGTGAAGAGGCACTCACCCCCCACAGCATACAGGTAACCATCCAGGGCCAGCAGCTTGAGCTGCGAGCGGGGCTGGGCCAGCGGCCGCACCTGGCTCCAGGTGTCAGTGAGGGGGTTATAGCAGAAGACCTTGTCGGAAAGGCGGGCCCTGGGCTCGCTGCCCACCGGCCCTGTCACGATGCCCCCTGCTAGGAAGAGGTAGTTGTGGAGGACACACATGGCACAGCCCTTAGCATTGGCTTCCTCGGGCAGGCGTGTCAGCACCCTCCACTCGCCGCTGGCCTCCTGGTAGCAGTGGATGAGGGAGCCACTCTCCTCCAGGGACACCACGGAGGAGGGGCTTTGCGGCCGGCTGCTTTCGCGGCTCTGTGGCCGGCTGCCGCCACCCGGCCGCTCGAAGGCATCGCTGACCTCGGCCACCAGCAGGCAGGGCCGGCCGGCCTCCATGCGCCGCTGCAGGATGAGGTCCCGCTCAGTGCCGCTGAGGCGGCCATACACGCTGGGCTCCCGCAGCACCTCCAGGTAATGGTCGCTCATGAAGCGGTAGGCAGCCTCCCGTAGCTCCGCCAGCCGCTGCTTCTTGGCCAGGCAGAGGAGCTGGTAGCAGTTGCCAAGGCAGAGCTGGGCGCGCATGGCCTCGGCGGCACAGTGCAGGGCACACGGCATCTGCAGGACGCGGGCGCCGCTCACCACCTCCGCCAGGTTGTCGTGCCGCACCTCTCCCATGCGGGCCGTGTACACGTAGTCGATGAGAAGCCGCAGCGCACCGTAGCTCACCCCCTTCACCCGCAGGACGTCCCGGGAGGCGCGGGCACGAAAGTAGTCACTCTTGGCCGCCAGCACCGCCTTGTGCGCCCGAATGCGACGCCCCGACACCTCGATCACAAGGTCGGGCTCCTCCGCCGGCCGGTCCCGCGGCCCCACCACCTCCTCATCGTCCTCCTCCGGCTGGCAGGCGGCGTTGTTGATCTCCCACTGGCTCTGTACCACCCGGCCGCCGGCCGCGGGCGGCTGCGGCTCGGCGGCGGCAGCGCTGAAGCAGAGGGAGGAGCTGAAGCCGCAGGGGGCGGCCGGGGTGGGCGGCGGCGGCGGCGGGGGGGCGCCGTTCGCGGCCCCGCTCTCCTCCTCCGGGGCCGCGCTGCCCTCCAGGGAGCCCTCCATGGAGCCGCGCTACCTTTGGCGGCGCCGCGCCGAGCCTGTGCGGAGCGCTGCCGGCCGCGGCGGGGCGGCCATCACCTGCGGGGGACACACAACAGCACTCAGCATCTGTGCTTGCCTCCGCTCACCCTCCTCCCCTTTCCCCCCGCTTCTCCGGCTTAATATTGGGAGCTGCTGCTCTCGCAGGCGGGGCCGTCTCTGGTTTCCGGGACTAAACCTCTGCTTCTGCTTTCCCCGGTGGATCCACCCTGCGGCTCTGCCGCCTCCCTCTGCCCGGGGCTAATTGCGGTAGCTCAGCCCCCGAAAACCTGAGCTCTCTTGGTGGCACGGGGGGTCGCCTCGATGAACACTACAACAACCTGAAAAGCAATTTTGTTTTTCCTGTAGCTGTGCAAAAACTTTAAGCAGTTTGCAGGCACTGTATCCTTTTCTTGATAACTGGTCCCTACTCTGTGCTGGGTGATGAGCAAAAATGTCCTTAAAGGGCAGATACTCAGGAGTACTATCACAATGTATTCACCTTGTGCAACTATTTCAGTGGAAGGCTGAGGCTGCAATTGATTCTGGAAGGCGATTCTCCACTAGTCAAGTTTGTCTTCGCATGACCTTTGTGAAGTATTCTTCATATCACTGCTCCTTATATGCATTCCCTCTGTTTAAAAGAAAGTGTAAAAAGCTGATTAGTTTTAAAATCGATACATTCTCTGTTCACTCAGAAGTTTGGGACTACTAGAGCAGTGCTTCCTTTAATAGGATATCTAGAGTATCTCAAAGGGACTATAAGTATGGTAATAATTCTGTTTACAAAAGAAAGGATTTTTTCTGTTGTTAGGACAAGCAATTTCACACTTATGTAGCAGCATATGTAGCTGTAATGCATTAGCAAGGTGTAAATCGGATTTCCTAAGTCTGAAAGATTTATAGCTTCTGTTAATAAAAAGCAGAAACAAGCAAAAAAATCACAATAGATAATTAGAACGTGAAGTCTCTTCTGGGAAACAGCAGACTACAGGGCATGGCTGCAAGTAGGTTAGTCCCCATCAGCAGAATCACCACCCAGTGATTTCACAAATGTAGTTTTTAGAATTTAAAAAAGTGCCATTTGTTTGCCTCATGTTTGTTTATGAATTTCCCAGGCTCGGTTTAGGTTTTGATGAATGACACATGAAAATTGTCCAAATGTACTTAATTTCATTTAATAAGTATCTGCAGCTCTGATTCTATGTTTAAGGAGGTTATTATTTCCATTCAAATCCCTGCTAGCAGTTTTTTCACAGTTCTCAAGGAACACTAATTTCTATGTAAAATATGCATTGTGACTTTCTTTCAGCAGAGATGATTCATTTACCTTATTAAATTAATATTAGGAAAATCTAACTTTCTGATTTTTTTTTTAATTACTGAAAGCATAACTGGTAAGTGACATTGTCTGGAAACCCCTGACATGTACATGAAACCTAGAAGCCGGTACTCGCACATGCATTCATGGCTAGGCTTCGTGAACGAAGATTAAGGATTAAGGAAGGCTCTATCCACATTTATTACAGGTACGCTGGTGGCTAATGAGGCCAATACAAGACAAGACATATCCGATTGCAAAAGGCACAGCAGAAAGACTCCTTAGGTGGTATATTCTGCAAGACATGGTTCTTTCTGCGTTGTCTTTTCTCCTCGAGAGTGATCCTGCGGGCGTTACTCGCACATGCAAACTATACTTAAATGGTATTATCGGTCTTCTCTTATGGGTTTTTATTTTGTGGACTTTCCCTGTGAAGTGCTTTCTACATTTGATCACATTCAGTTAGACTGAATCAATGCTGATGTTTGATTTCTGGGCACTTGAGACTTTGAGACCATAACAAGGTTTCAGTAGCATTTGGATATTCCTTACTAGAATGAGCAGATTTCACAAACTTTGTATTCCTCATCTTAGTGTTAAAAAATCTGGCACTTGGGAACTTTTTATGACATTGTATGAACTTCGGATAGTCTTACTGGCAAATTTCCTGTGGTCTAGACCCAAACTCTGTAGGTCAGGTTTTACTGAGTTTTCTCTAGCTTTAAATAGACAATGAGAAATGCAGTGATCTGTGTGTACACTGGGTGTGTCTGTGGAAGATGTATAGATTCATTATTAACTTTAACTGGGCAGCATCCCTGTTGATGTGATTGTCACTGAGCCTTCACAGTACTGAATTCACTATGTAACCATGTTTTATGCTATTTTATTATGCCGTAGACACTGAGATTAATCTTCTCTTTGCTCCAGGCCTTCGAAGCCCTGATAATCAGCTTTGTTCAAGAGCAACAACTGTAACTGACACTGGTGAAATGACAAAGGTCCAGTGGAGGTGGCTAGGAAAACACCAGGAATGCCAAGCTCAGATGTACAGTTATATTAAGAAAATTGCTACAATGTGACACAAGTAAGTAATTAAAACATTTTATGTGTCCTCTGCTCTTTCTTGGGCTTAGTTCCCCAATATTCAATCCTTATCTTGATACAGTTCTGGATAGCTTGAACTCCATAATCATGAACATTCAGTGCATTCTAATATTCCTTCCCCCATTGCTCTCAATATTATGCCCTTTCCTGAAACACCTCACTTTTGACATCACTTTTACTTATGTTCCCCCACTACAAGAAGGAATGAGTAGCTTCAGATAGTTTCAAACTCTCAGTCTATACCTTGATTTTGCAAGTGAAATTATAAAGGAAGAATGAAAGAGAATGCCACCAAAAATTAAAGGTGTGGGTGACTAAATGTGAGAAGTCAAAACCAGTAACTGTAATACTAATAATATCTCTGTATGGTGAGATGTATTTCCTGCATTATGTCTCAAAAGAAAATCACCATTTAGAATATTCAAAGTTGTTAAAACAGCAATCAGAAAAAAGTGATCTTTTCAATTTTCTCAGCTAATGAAACAAGAAAAAAGAAAGGGTGACATCCTCCTAAACACAGGTATCATACCTTTCCTCATATTCAGATATCTGCTTGGCTTAGAAGTTTGACTTGACACTGAAGTGTTATTGAGATAGAAGCTGCCAGCCACCGCAGTCGTAACAAACACGTATATTACCATTCTCCTGAGGAATCACAAGGAGAAAGAAGGACTGATGGTATGGCTTCCTAATGGCAAGCAGCAGAATTCTGAAGAAAATGACCTGCTGGTATATCTAAAGCTAACCACCAAGAATATGTTTAATTTTATGCTGAGCATGAACAGGACTTCAGTCAAAGTATCACATGCAATTAAGGCAACAAGGAACTCTACAGGGAAGTTGAAGATTTAGAAAAGCTGAAAGAGGGTTTGGAGGACTTTTGTCAACAGCAATGACCACTCCAGCAATCTCAGCACCTTTGTCTATCTGAAAACAAAATATAGGCATTACACAAAGATGAAGGTGAAAAAACAATTCAGAGAAGTTGTGGAACCTTCCCATTATTGAGTGACTTGCCTGATCTGAGTTAAAAGGTTGTAGATTTAGTATAAAACAGGAAGATGCTGAAAGGGGCTGGTGGAAATACAATACTGAACTACTTCTCCATTCTTTTTTTATCTACAGTGATCAAAGAGTTGTATTGCTGTTCTAACAACACAGAACATTCAAAAGTTACAGAATCGCAGAAGATACTTGATAGCTGTCCTGATTCAGAAGAATCTCACCCCCTAACGAACTCATTCAGCTTCAAACAAACTTAGTTTTAGCACTTTTTTCAAAACTCAGAAACAGGATAGGTAGTGGAAAAGGAAGCAGGCTGTTTACAGGACACGGTATCTGTGGACTAATGTCACTTTTTATACTGGGGACTTTTAAGTTAGAAGCTGAATTACTGTTTTCATTATCATGGGCTTGGTCTAGGGATGATGTAATGTTAATGGACAGAGGAGCTGCCAACAAACATGAACTGTATTTACAGACTTGGCAATGACACAATTACAATATCCTGGATGTGTGGCCCCAACCTCAGATGCTGTGAGACATTGCTCAAGTAACAGCACAGATAAGAAGGCGTAGTTTTTCTGACAGAGAAACTGTAATGAAGAGCTGCAGGTAAAGTTTCCTGCATTCATTTGGCAGTCCTTCTGATAAAATCCAATTAAATGCTTGTATTGCATTGTTCTCTATTTACTTTTTTTTGTGCAGTGCCAATAGCCTTTGACCCAAACCCTGTGCTCTGGCAAGACCCACTTTCTCTGGGGAATATGCGCATGTGGGAGGAATTGGGTTACTGCTCTGCAGTTCACAAATGAAAACTGCTCTGACTAAGTCTCAGGGTAAATAAAAGCAGTGCTTTCCCTATCATAAGCAACTCTAATTTACATATGCAGGCTGTCCTCCCAAAAGACACACCAGTTCAGAAATGACAGAATGCCATTCTGCTCCACCTTAGTCCAGGAAATGCTTTTGTAAAAATTTGTACTGCCAAATTTTACTTCAGTAGAGAATTCCCTTGGGATATGGGCGTCATCTGATTGAGATGATTAAGGCATCCAAAGAGGCAGGATCATCAAAAGAGAAAAAACATCCCTTGTATTTATTTTAAAAACTAAACGATGACTTCACACTGGCCAGTGTGAAGAGATCCAGCTCAGACCAGAAGGCAAAATCTTCTAGGAGGTAGAGTCAAGTGTAGAGTGCTTTGCATGTTTATAAAAATAGTCTGTTACACTCCTGCTCATTGAGTAGATCTGCGAAATCTGGAGGAAAAAGTGTTTTCTTTGTAAATGGGGAAAACATCCGGAGCATAAAGATGCCATTTTTCTGAGAGGGCTTGCACCAATTGAATTCTTGGATCCTAGTACAAATTTTAACTGTAAATCTTAACCACTTGATTAGCCTCCTGCTTGTAAAAAAAAAAAACACAATTGTCTTTCAATGTGCCACCTGAAGAAATACAGCATGAAGAATAATTCTTTTTCTTTCCCTTTTTTAAAATTAGGAGCACTCAAAACCGGGATTACAATACAATCCTAGTGTCTTGCCCTGACTGCCGGACGTATGTCTTTTGTAGTACTGCATTCACACTCAAGTTGCCTATGCAGCTTCCTTATGACCTTTCAGGGTCCTGTAATTTTCTCACAACATGTAACAGAGGTACATGTTTCTATCTCATAACTACAAAATTTTCATAAAATCATAAAGAAAAAAAAAAATTAAGAAATGCAGCTTATGATTATAGACCACACAAGACACATGTGGGCAGCAGTTCCTCATCAGAAACTCTGAGGAAGAAAAGGCTGTGTGTGTCTGGGCAGGGAGGAAGAGAGAGAGGAAGTAAGTTATAACAAAAATATTATCAAAAGCCTGATTAAATCGATACTACAGCTAGCAAATCCAAACTAAAAATATACAAGTTCTAAACAGTCATTGTGACCAGAGAAAAGGTTTCCTTACAGTAATATCCATAGAGGCAAACACTCTCTAAAAAGGAAACTACCTTTTTGAGTTCCTACCACAGTTTACACTCCTCAGAAATAGGGAGGAGCAGGGTCTCTCAGCAGTTCTCACAGCAAAAAGGAAATAACACTCCCACAAAAGCAAAATCTAGCAAAGATTAAGTGCAAGTCCTCTCCAATGTCTTAGATAAAAGAAAGTCTAACAAAAAAGAAGAGTCAGAAACAAGTTTTGAGTGATTACGATAC